GGTTTCGTGGTCTAACGGTTATGACTGCGGATTCTGATTCCGCCAGCGAGGGTTCGACTCCCTCCGAGACCTTTCTTTTTGCATCACTTCCCAATACTTACAAATATCTTTTTGGTAACTACCGATAGATTATGGCGCTTCATGAAGTCCAACAACGACTCGTACCTTATTTTCATCCCCCAGCTCAGCCATCTTTTGTGTATCCCAAAGCTCCTGCGGCTCTTTCTCCGAATCAAGTTCTGAGCTTCCTATTTGCAAAACCTGTGTATTTCCCAGCTCTGCTTTTGAAAAGGATGGTTCGTCTGTGCTGGACTCTGATGTTTGACTTCCTCCTCGGCTTCCTCCTCGGCTGCGACGGAAATGTCTCCATAAGACGATGCCTATTATTCCGGATATCAAGAGTCCAGCAAACGTGACGCCTACTGAAATTCCAACTAGCGCAGCCGTCGACAATCCATCTTTCTCAGGCTCATTTGCTGGTATTTGGGTTGGATCTGAGTGATGTGAATTTGTTGGTGATTCTGTTTCTGATGAAGTTGCTGATGGTGCTGATATAGATGTTGCAGATGGTTCCAAATCATCCGTCGTAGTCTTGGAAATGTTGAAGTTACCAGAGTTGGCAAGTTGAATATCAAGGTCTGACGCGTACAGCGCGAAGTGAAACACAGGAATGTCGGTGTCGTTAATTAGCCATGGTTTGGTTGTTACGTCCCACGCGCTCGCGTTCCACACATAACTCGTATCTGTTGTGTTATCTGCAGTACGAGTTAGTCAACGAACCATTGCGGGAACAAGAGATGTCAGTACCAAGTATTTTTTGATATTGCACAACAGAAGGCCGTGGCCAGGTCTGCCATAAGAAAAGATTGCATCCACCTTTTCGGTCTGTCTTCCATTCTATCTTGACATTCTCATCGAGTGAATAGACTGGGTTGTTGTCAAAATTTGTATCAGTGAGATCTAGTGCTGGAGTGATGAATGTCGATTCACATTTTGCCAATGCTGCGAATGCAAGAGCAACAACATATAACGAATGCATTTTTGAAATCTCTCTTGACGAGATATCAAGTTGATGAGAGGAAATTTGACAGGAGAGGGGAAGAAAGATAAAAACTCAAAGACGTTACATTTTCTAACAATTCTCGACAGAGCTCTGTCAGCTTTCTCACGAACCCATGTCACGCTAGACCAGCCTTCACACGTTGCACTGCCCCGATGGTTGATAAGAAATAATGACTCAGCTATTTCAGCCAATGAAAGACTTCAAACAGCAGTTAATGACGCACAAGACTCTTCATCCACCAACCAGAAGCTCAATTGAAGGGTTTACAAGCTCAGGGTATCGTTCCTACGTTTTTGCCATCGAGATTTGCGATGTTAAGCTTCTGTATAAGAGACGCTAGCAGGGATCAGATTAAAGGCGGTAAAACGGATTTCGGGTCCGGTTTAGCGGATGGGATGATTTTGACTCTTGGGTAGAAACTTTTTCATGTGGTGTCGTGATCATGATTGATCGGCGCGATGGTGTTGTGGCAATATCACGGACAACAGTGGGTCGTAGCTCAATAGAACGACAGCCTGCGTTACAGAAAGCTAATTCGCAAGTCAACCCACTAAGAAGGATATTATGTGATGGGCTGTTCCGGAGCCCGGTGGCCGTTAAAGGTGATGCCAGTATTGTGGCACAAAGGCAAACACACAACATGACACAATGATCGTGTATAAAAATTGACGACCGCTCGACCTGAAGCTGCTGGACTGCATCTGAGCCACTTCATTCATTATTTCCGTGCTAACCTCTGATAGCATGCTCGCCATTCCTGACTTCGTTTACAAAAATGATATGGAAATCGCCCTGCTCATTCTACTACCAAGTATTTATGTGTTAATTACGAACAAATATTTTCAGCTCATTCACAAGTTAATTCTACATATGTAGAAAGTACCAAGGTCAAAAAGCAAATGAAACGCGCCTCTAGTATTGAAGACGTCAGGCAAAGGAAGAGCTAGAGCCGCCAACAGCTTTCGGAAGATGGAATCCAGCAAAGAACGAAAAGAAAACAACAATATAGTTACAAGTAAAAGGCACACCAAATAAAACCCACCGACTTCCATTTGTAGACCCCAGTGCCAACGCCAAACATAATCCAAAAGCAATTCCAGGTAGAAGTGCGTCCCGATGGACGTAACTATAGAAGAAGAAAGGAATGCAAACTACACATCCCACTGTGAATAGAACCACCTTCTGCTTCAAACTGTTGCCAAACGTAAGAGCCACTATCAAGCACATCGTCGCATACAATGGCGGGAATATCAGTATTTGGAAGTAGCTCAACCATTCTTCGTTGTCGCGGGGTCCTATAGGCCTGATCATGTGCTCTTCTACGAGTAGTCCCGCGATGAAGAAGACTCGAACAATCCACCACTTCTTCGTTCCCAGCCAGCGCCAGAAACTGAATGACTTTACAGAAAGGTACTCTGAAGACACAGACCCGCCGTTCAAGACCGTTTGAATTTCGTTCTCGAGCTGATTGTCTGAAAGATTGTCGATGTCTATGTCAGCCTGTTTCAGTTGGCATCGGATGGTATCGGTCAGCTCCAGAAGGCCTTTCCATTGGCGAGATGCAGTTTCACGACTGTTCAATTTCAGTGTTTCATGCGTTTTCTTCCACAGGATCATGAGAGCCAGGGACCATAGTAGGAGTAGAATTACTACAGTGTACAGCTGTAAAAACGAGAAACCCCATTGATACAGTTGTCCTGAGTCCTGCAAACTGTCAGCTTCCTGCATATGGTCCTTTCTAGGATCCCCTTACCTCTCCCGTTGTCGGTTGACAAACGCCATTATGTTCTAGTTGAGATGGGGTGTACAAGTCGCTGTCAACGAGATATAGCGTCTCGGGACCACCTCTGAATGGACCGTTGTCGTAATATCCCTCTTCTTTGTCCGTCCAGCCCCAATAGAAAGGATTTGGAAGATCGTATGCAGAGATGTTGAGGGGTGGCCAATCTATGGTCTGTCCACGGAACGTCGTCGTCTTGTTATGGGTCTCACTTGTGTTGTTACTAGAGCCGTTGAAGCCATACTGCTGAACGTCTGTCAATCATAGCCTCTGGTTAGCTGGGTATATGTGAGTCGGTCGCAACCTGTACTCACACTGCGACACATCCCCTTGTAGCTGGCATTCATCTTTGAATGCTTTTCGTTCCTTGAAGCATTGTTCAAACATCCTCGATCCGGGATAGATATTTCCAGAAGAACCTCCTGTGTCATAAATCAGTCTCAGTCTCGAGAGTCCCTATCGTTTTTGTTTTACCTCCTATCCAATATACAATGTGGCCATCGTCAAATTCCGAAGTCCTCTTTCCGTCGTGTATGATGTAGGCTACTGGACGTACTTTGGCGAAGGGAAATAGCTTTCCACTGCTAGAGGTCATGTAAGGATCGTTAAAAGTAGTATATCCAGTCATTGAGCCTGCAATAGTGGGAAATGCGAGAAGTAATGACAAAGTCATGATCATGACAGACATTGCAGCTTTCGATGCAAGTCCCTGTCGAAAGAATTGGGCGATCAGACGGATCATAGATAGAACAGATGTATCTTGGCGAAACCTTACAAGCCAAACCGTGGCGTAAGTAGCCGGCTTGCTTGCAATAGATACCTCCAGGTATTGGGTAAATACCTGCCAGGTCACGAAAGACATGATAAACTGACCTCCCCTACCAACGACCTAAAGGCTTTCGTCAGCACGACCATGAAAGCTCCAGAGAGTTGCCCTTACCAAGTCCCACACCACATCGATGAGTTTAGCAGACGTAAAGGTGAGCTTGCCCCAGCTGAGGGTGACTTGAAAGAAGCTTTCAGCCGCCCACCAGTCAATACTGTAGTAGAAATCTCCATAAAAGATTTCATTTGCATCCATTTGAAAATCTCCGTCCGGCCGGCAAGGAGTAGCGTTCCTACTTGCCGGCCCAATCGGAAGAAATGCCAACAAAGTTAATAAAAACGAGATCCAGATGATAGCCAGAAACTGCCAGCCAACACGACAACAGCGAGACGAATCGACTCGTTCGAGAGAGCTTATATCGCGCCACGCGTCAATTAAGGCGATCTTGATTGAGGTAGAACCTGAAGAAGACTTCACGAATTTGTCGGACAGCCAGGTCGTTCGTAGGGTCGGTGAGCTAGATAGCGAGTCTAGCTCAACTTCTGAGGGAGAGCCGAACAGCTTTTTGGCGGAAACGGACATTTTGGGGGCCCGACGTTGAAAGATATTCGTCTAGCTTGGGTCAAAAGTCGCGAGTAACGTTTTTCGGTGCCTCGCTTAGCTGATCCCATCTGAGAGGCAATCCTCGTGGACAAACCGCCGCAATTCGAACTCGGTGGGACTGGATGTTGGACGCGAGATAAAGTGCTCAGTCAATCATCAGCGACAATGATTAAGGACAGAACCAAGTCGGCAGTTGCGGGGAATACAGGCCTTGCGATAAGCGATCCATGGGTACGGCACAGAAGCCCCGAGCGGGATCCTGGAAAGGATTGCTGACGTCCGGACCCATGATTGCCACCAATCATCGGATGCAAACACAAATCAAGCTCAAATTGTTTATGTCCCTGTGAAAGATGACGCTGTTTTGGGGGCGATTGCAACACAATTAATGCAAGGTCGCTGTGCTTATTGTGGCTGAGTATTGTGCGAGAGATTGAAAATCGAAAGATCTGCAGTGATCACGGAGCTTTTCCAGCTTGTACCAGAGATTGGCAGCAGCGCGGGATAATGCTTGCCCAGCTGGACTCGTATCCCAATTGGGAAGGTACCATCCTGACATCTTCACATCAAGATTCTCCCAGCATTCTTATGTCTGCAAAGAATGATAAATAGCACAGCTGGCATTCAAAAATAGATGATAGTTACAATGAAATTCATGTCCCGTTACGGCTTAGCAGAAACCTAAGTATACAATTATTTGATATCATTATCCTTCATTCCTCCGTCAATAACCATGCGATAGCCTTTAATCTCTGGCAACTTGCCAGACACTGTTGTTGAGAACCTTAATGCATTGATGCACTCATCTGCGCTCACTGATAAGCTCCTTATCCCCAGCATCAGGAGTAAGGTTGTTGCCCTCGATGTGCCTAGTGTCAGGCTTCTCCTGAGGATAATGACCATCATTCGCCGCAAACTCATACAGAGGAGGGAATGGTGGGACATCGGTGCGAAGGATATACTTCTTCAAGTACCAAGGCAACTTCCTCGCGTAGTAAGAAGCATGCTCCTTGTTACCGACACCAAACACACTATCGAGTTCCTCAAGCGTCAAGTTCTTAGTCTCAGGAAGGAAGAAGTAACAAAAGACCCAACCAAAGATGTTCCATCCAGCGTACCAGCAGAAAGCACCAGTGATACCATATGCGTCTTCCAGGGCAGGCCAAGTGAAACTGATGATGAAGTTGAAGCCCCATGTAATAGCAGTACTGGATGCCATTCCAATGTCTCGGATGTGCAAGGGGAACGCTTCAGCACTGTAGGTGAAGGGCACGGGGCCAAGACCGGGGGAGTAGACAGCCATAAAGAGGTAGAGGCCTGTAGTTACAGTGCCAATGAGAGCTTGTTCGTTTTCAATGTTGAAAACACCGCCGGTGAAAAACAGACAGGCTGCCATGAGAGGGAAAGTAACGAGTAGAAGGTTTCGGCGTCCGAAAGTATCAATGGTATAGATAGCTGGGATAGCGAAGAGGAAATTGATTAGGCCGCCCCCCATTGAGACTAGGAGAGCTTCGGAAAGGGAGTAGCCAGCGTTCTGAAAGATGGTAGTTGAGTAATATGCGATGACATTTACGCCACAGAATTGTTGCATGAACTATTGAATTGGTTAGCTTTTAGTCCAAATCGAGCAACATAACTGATGTACTTACCATGCAGAACCAGGCACTCTGAGCAGCACGTCGGTTTCGGCGGACAGTGAAGAACTCCTTGAGCAAGTTTCGCCCCTCTCTTTCACCACGCTCAAGTTCGAGCAATTTGTATGCGTAATACATATCTCGGGTTGCCTGAACAGGGGAGAAGCGAAGTCTACGGACAGATCGGAAGGCCTTGCTATAGTTGCCGCGTTCCATATACCATCGGGGGCTTTCGGGGCAAAAGTAGACTTGAATCATGACAAGAAGCGGAGGAACAGAGGTGGATGCCATCATCCATCGCCAGGGGGAATTGGGGCCGCCAATGAATGTGACCTTTTCGAAAGCGACACAGACTATGAAACCGAGGGCGATACCGAAAGCAGTCCACATCTGCCACATCATTGTAAGGGCACCTCGAATGTTCTTTGGTGTTGATTCGGCAGAGTAGACAGGAGTGGTGCTGGACTTGGCGCCAACGGCAAAACCAAGCATGAAGCGAGCTACGAGGAGGTTCCAGACACTGTTCTTATGTTAGCAACTAACTTGGTCCGGAGAAAGAAACATACGAGGTAGAGGCAGCCATCCAGAAGCCAGTGATGCCAGACATAGCACACGAGATGAAGATAGTTCCGCGACGACCGGTATACTTATTGAGAATGGGACTGGTCCAGCAGCCGATGAGAGCAGAGCAGAGATATGGTGCTCCGTTGAGGAAACCTTGCATCCATACGTTCGTGATATCGAACTCTGCAAAGTAAAATACCTAGACCACTGTCAGGAGTATGAACCGATTCGACTTGGTGAGAAACATACCTGAGCACCATTGACGGCGGTTTGATCCATGCCTTGCACGATAGCCGATCCAGCACAAAGAGTGCAAAGGAAGTACAAAGCAAAGGGTTGATGCCATCGATGTGTCTCTTCCTTCCGGAGGATAGCCTTTTCATCCTCGGTGAGAATATCGATTCTCTCATATGCGCCCGGTGTGTTATTCACCTGAGCGACGAGAGCTCCCTTGCGGAAATCCTCGCGATGCTCCTGAAGACCCCTTTGGTCGACAAAAGCGTCGACGTCAGCAAGGATCTCCGCTCGAGTCATGCCCGCCAGAGGGTTGCGAAGAAGGGTCGCCTTGGAGATACGACGCTCGCCGCCAATGTTGGGATTGTCATTGACGAAGGTGCCATTGCTGCTGGAGTTGCGATGGCTTTCATTGATGTAATCATCCTGGCGAGGAGCTTCATCGTCTGCTCTTGGAGGCGGCATGATGCCGATTGAGCAGTGCACTCGAGTTCAAGTGAGACAGAGCAGATAAAGGACGACCGGCTCAAGCAGGTCGGCAGTTACTGACAAGCTTTGGACGTCTGGGGAAGATCTTGGGGCCCCGGATTCTGATGGATCTTTCCTTGGTGTCGAATGTAACGAGGAAAACAAGCAGAGGAAAGATCAGTGGACTATCCATCACTTATTATATGGATTTTCTCAAAGGATTCCAAGCTTTTCTCCACACTGGGCAAGCCGTTTGATACTGGAGGAGTGGAGAGTTCGCCAAGTATGATCGCCGTATTGAATTCCGTTTTCTTTGGCTGGGCGCGGCTCAAGTCTCGGTGTATCCCTGTCTGGGCAACCCGGTTTATGACGTTGGCCGAGAAATTGTAAGAAAGAAGTGCTCATTGTCTTTTTTGCTGATTTCGTTTAATGTTGATGACGCGGCGGATGTAACGGAGGATGAAAGGGGAAGCGTTATGTGGTGTGACAGTAGATGCGGCTTTTTGGTGTTTTCTTTGCGGTGAAGTGTAAAATCACTGCTGGAGTTTTGAGCTTCACCTCCAAAGGCCACCGCCGATGAGCCATCTCAGACGCTCAAACCTCAAAGCACTATCGTGGAGTCGTTAGAATTGAGTTCTATTGAAAGTCAATTGATCGACTTACAGTCACCGGCTTTCCGAAACCTTAAACCCGCCTACCCGCCAAGTGTGTAAATGTCTCTCCGGTACTGCGATCAGTAGAAGCCCGAGGAGCCAGACCCTTGCTGATGGAGCCACTGTAAGTTGACTTGAATAAGCTTAAATGGGTGACCCTCACGCGACAAGGGTAGCTTGGCGCTAGTCTGGGCGTGCGTCACAGTCTGCCGAGCGAACATAGCGCTTGACGTCAACTTTCTTTTTGCAAGTTTATGTGTGTCTTTCGTCTTTTCGTTTGCGGGAATGACATCGGGCATCTGCTTGTGTTTCGATGGTCACTGTCTTGGACAAACCCCGGATCTCGTTACGCACGTGGAACAAGCTTATCTCCATGGCCAACCATTGAGTCCCAGTCTGATCAACACGACACCAATGGCAATCTGCATCATCCGTTCTCCGCTGATATTCGATGTGATTGATGATGTCCAAATAAACTCAACCGATCATCAAAACAGGCCGACACTTTAATCTCGAAACAGTGGAACTTGACCCAATTTACCCCGACAAGAAGTACCGCAAACGCGTCCCCCAGCTTCGGTCGGTCTTGGTATGGAGAAAGACCCAATCTTTAATTCTGTTGCCTGTTCTCTTGGCCGCGCTCGTCCTTTCGCCAAGGTCTGAGCCTCTGATCAGATGAATGTTCGATCCTAGAAGTAAAATAAGCTGTTGGCTTGGCTATAACGGGGGAATGTCGTATGCCGATTAGGGTAACCCACAGAGTTTGCTCGGAGGAGGGGATATTGACCCTAGATGCCAGCCAAGATGCTGTAGAAACTTCGAATGCTTGGATCATGTGAGTCCTTGTGTCCAGCGGTGATTTGGACATGAGACCGTGTGAAGATGAGAGTTCCAATTCGGGACATCGATCGCTCTTCGACTCCCTCGCTAGTTAGACTTTGATGGTGACACATGTGAGAATGCTCGCAATGCGCACTCAGCAGAACAGCCCTTTTTATCATACGGCGTCGACTGCCTTGCATTTCGGATACTTGACTCCTGCGATTCGAGAGAATGCGGTCTGCTTCTAGAACGTCGTCGATCTTTCGGAGGTGTGTGTTCTTCACGTCCGTAAACGATGCGATTTGCTCAATCGTCGGCTAAGTTTGGGATGGCAGCTGCTGTGCTCCCGCCCAGGGGACAATCAGTCAGTATGACGTATCAAACATTTGGCAAGAGCGGATACTTCTTCTTACCTATGAACGATAAGTACGGTGCTGGAAGGATGTTGCTTGCCTCGTCCCAAATTCGGTTTGTTGTTTGCCATGGCCATGAGCTATGTCACTCAGAGTTTTCTTGACGGTCAAAGAGCAAGAGTTACCAACGGGGGCAGCTATGAATCTTCACTCGGACGAGTTAATAACTCAGTACTGAAAAATCACTGCGGCCTAAGTTTGTTGGAGTTAACTGGCCTCTCTGTCGGCGCGTCCTTTTCGTCTTACCTCCATAGCTTGGAAGAGTAAACAAAGCCTAGCCATATCTAAGGTCATGGTTTAATAAAAGGCTTCTTGACGATAATCGGAAAGAAGCGTGGCTTTTGAATCGTTCATGTTTTATTTTTGGAAAGAAGAAAGGAATGGAAGGAGCGAAGCGAGAAGGGCACCTGGTGCATGACCGAGTGGTCTAGTATACTACCACACACATGTGCCTACGATATAATTATGTTTCGGTAGACCTACTTATATGAATTCCAATCATCCATTGTCTTTAAGAGATACTTAGATTTAATTCAGCAGTTGTTTGCCTCGCCTGCTGTTATCCTCCCAAGCAGGCCGAGGCCCACCAAATAAAGGAGATTAGGCAGGCATAAGTTTAATCAATTTGCACTCAGTCACCTAGGCGCTTTTCCTTCTCTTGTTTCCATCTCAGTGGAGTGAATATCCTCCAACCTCAATTCTCCATTAACCCGGCTCTCCAGGGCACCTTCTTCCTCTAACTCACACTCGTTTACTGGTCAAGCCCCTAACTTCTATTGGACATTTCCCCTATTATTTATTGCACATGGGACCTGAGCCTTCTGTTTAGAGCCGGTGCCGGACTTCTCAACTTCCCCCTCGTTCTTGCTGCTTCGATTCACCCCACGGCTGCCTGATTCCTCGGGCCAGCACTTTCGTCTACCTTCCCTCTCCTCTCCCACTCCACCTCCAATCTTCCTTCCTTTCCAAACAACAACTGCCACACAGCTCCGGGGCAACCACTCCTTCTTTCCATCTCTTGCACCCCAAGCTTTTGTAGGTAAGTGGTCTTTCACTCTACCACTCCTTTCCCCCTTCATCGTCTCCTTTACTCACATCATCGCGTCGTTGCAGCACCTTGCAAACACCACACTCTTTGTTGATTTTTGACAACGACAACAAAATGTGTGTTGAAACTATCACCATCGCACAGTGCGCTCCTATGAGCGCTCCCGAGATGTCTTTTACTTGTGGCAAGCTCCACATGATCGCCCACGACCGCGTGGTCTGTGATCTCTCTCGCGGCACCTGCATCTGCTTCTTCGGCACTTGCGGTACCGTCACCCGCGTCGTCCCTACCGATGGAGTTGATCTCAGCTCTGTTACCAAGGTTCGATGCGCCTCTTGCACCACTCGAGAGGACAACGTTAGAGATCGTCGTCAAGACCGAGAGATCCTTGAGTCCGCCCTCTTGCAGCGACCTGCTATTCCCGACGCCGCTTGGGAGGAGCACTTTTCGTTTCTTAAGAAGCTCTGGCACTCGAAGAACACTTGCCCCTACCACTCCGACACTTCTGTCATCATGGTCAAGGCAACTGCCGAAGAGCCTGCCAAGGAGCATGTTTGGGTCGAGGGTGTCACCAAGCCCACTGCCGAGTCTGTCCCTGTCGACACTTCTTTCGTCGAAGTGGCTATCGACAAGGATCATTCCCTTGATCAAGCCGCTAACGATGCCTCTATACATACCGAGGCTGGCTCCGGCCCCTGTGTCGACCCCTGGACTGGTGAGGCTATCACTGCCGAGACTCCTGGCATTGACTCTACTCCTGGTATCGACTCTACTCCTGCCAAGGACTATCATCGCGAGGACGAGGCTACTATCGAGACTAGTTCTGACACTTGTAAGAATACGAGTTCCATCTTTTGACAATTCTCGCCATACTGACTTTCTCCTTATAGCTGTCAAGAACGGACTCGAAAGGGAGGTCGGTATTGAGACCAGCCGCTGGAATTCCCAGGTACCCAAGACTCCCGAACAGAGCGATGGACAAACTCAGGAGGTCCAGCACATCGAGGAGTTCCAGCATGTTGAGGATGCTCAGAAGGTCGAGGAAGGCCAGAGTCCCGGTGGCGCGCATGTCTCCCGACGCCCTGTCAACTTCTCCTTCAGCGCTGAGACTGCTGAGAAGCGGCGCGAACATACCGAGAAGTTTGCTTCTTTGAAGTCCTTCCTTGCCGGAAAGGCCTAATCAGATCAATTGACATCGAGAAAGTGTCTGACTGATATGGAGAGATTGGAGGAATGAAGACGAGAACTAAAATCGGTGTGCCATTAAATGGAAGGATATAGGATGTAGACTTGTGGAAGACTATGAGAGATGGTCCGCGAGCACATAGCAAGTCAATCTCAAGGAGTGCTGAACAATGCGGATCCCAACTGTGAACAATCGTGAGGCCATGTTGCAAGGTGAGCTAATGGAGTCCTCGTGTCTTCCAGCAGCACAACAGCGAGGATAGGTCGTTGTCGTCAAAATGAACTCGGTCTCAGTCAGTATGCGGAAATAAGCTGGCTTTACCAATGCACCTATCGTCCTGGTGCTTCAATATTTACAACATTCAGCCTCCATCCACCTTCAACAACAGTAAACATCAGTTGCATACCTCACCAGAATAAGACGTATTAATCTGAGGCAAGTTAATTAACAATTTATCTAGTTGCGCTTCGTATTTAACAGCAAAGGCCAAGTGACCACCGAGCCAGTGTTGACGTGGGAGACCTGACACCCTGGCGGTGATCTGAGCCAATCACTCCCGCACCTTCACGTCTCAAGCTGAGCCCCTGCATCCCGCTCCCACTGCAACTTCCCGAACTCGTACGAGTCACACTGGGCAGGCAAATTATTTTCCTTGGCAAAAAAAGAACTTTTATTCCCCGACCGGTTTTTTCTTGAAGTCATCGATCTTGTGCCTTTGCTTCTCCCCCACTGCAGATCTCGGCACTCCGACAACTTCAGGGTCCAGGGTCCAGGGTCCAGGGTCCAGGGTCCAGGGTCCACTGGCATACTCCTCCACCAGAGCGTCAACAACGTGAGGATTTGGCCTGCATGCAATAATGTCCGCCGATGACGCCCAGACGCCAGAGACGGGCCAGCGTACGGCTCGGGATCTGGTGAAGGAGATCGCGAAAGAACGCGGGTATCTTGGAGAAGAGAAGCTCGCGCGGCTTGGCGACTTCGACCCTGAACTACGACGTGATATTGAGGAAGCGCTACTCAAGAAAGATGAGATGATCGGTTCGGCGGTCTTGACGTACGTATCAGAGGTGTATCCAAGCTTGTTGACAGGCATGCTCACATCAATACTAGACTTGCCAAAAACCTTTACACAAGCAACGCAAGATTTGTTTTCGAACTCCTTCAGAACGCAGATGACAATGATTACAGCACTGCCATCTCGCAAGGCCAGGACCCGTGTGTCTCTTTCAAGGTATTTCCCAGCAAGGTCACAATTGAATGCAACGAGAATGGCTTCACACCCGAGAACTTGAAGGCAATCTGCGCTATCGGCAAGAGTTCGAAGGTTGGCGCCGCCGGCTACATTGGAGAGAAAGGCATCGGGTTCAAGTCTGTCTTCATGGCTGCCTGGAAAGTGCATATTCAGTCAAACGACTTTTCTTTCTCCTTCACACATCGGAAAGGCGACTCTGGTCTTGGGATGGTTACTCCTGTGTGGGAGGAGACAGAAGAGCCCATTGCTGAGTCGTTGACTCGCATCACACTGCTGCTTCATACGAGTGAGGACCCAGACGAGGATGAAAGGCGGCGCGAGACTATTCGCCTCCAGTTCCAGGATCTTCAACACACGATTTTACTCTTCTTGCGGAAGCTACGTAAGGTACAGGTCTCTTTCTTTGACACAAACGACGTGGAATCATCGGTCACTGCATATTCTCTTCATGGCAGTAACCCCGCCACCATCCGGAAGGAGACTTCGGAAGGTGTTGAGGAACGGCAGTACCATGTTACCAAGCATGTCGCAGAGAATATCCCCCGGAGCGAGAATCGGACATATTCTGAAGAAGAGGAGCGCGCTGACTCCTCCACTGAAGTCGTGCTGGCGTTCCCTCTGTCAGAGGAGGGTACCCCGATTGTTGAGAATCAGGATGTTTTTGCGTTTCTTCCCATGCGACCGATGGGGTTCAAGGTAATCAACAGTGTCTCTGAAGCATATTTCATGGATATAATCACTAACAGGTTGTGCCTCACAGTTTCTTATCCACACCGATTTCGTCACCGAAGCAAGCCGTCAAGGCATAGTCATCAGCTCTCTCCGAAACCGCGCGCTACTGGAAGGTATCGCGGACTGCTTCATCAAAGCCATTGAAGAGTTCTGCCAGCATCCGACCCTCCAATACCAGTGGATGCGATGGTTGCCCCAGCGAAACACCTACCCTTGGGACGAGTTCTGGTTAAGTCTCCTTGAATGGATCGAAAAAGGAATATCCAACGTCAAGGTACTCCGCACACTCGTCTCTGGGCAGCTGAAATACATAACCAATGTTTCTCGACTTCAGCCATGGCTGCGCGATGAAAATGGCGATCCTCTCTTCTTCGATCTTGCTACCGAGATCTACCTCGCTAAGGAGTACACCGAAGAAGACCTGGATTCTTTGGGGCCATATGGCCTATGTAGTGCCGGCACGCATGCCGTGATCGATCGCGTTGAGAGTGATCTCGCTTGCAGCTTCAGACCATGTAGGATGAGGAACCCCCTTACAGATAATCAGTGGCACTCCCTCGCAGCACAGGCGCTTATAAAACTGGAGGAGTTATCCGCCTCTTCTCCGTCAACCAACGAACGCTTCAAGGAACTGAAGTTGGTCCCGCTAGGAAATGGAAAATGGGTGTCAGCGACTAGTAGTCCGCTTTACTACTCCCAGTCTGAGCAGCTTGCTATTCCTGATTGCCTCGGTCTGAAACTGGTCGACACAGATGCAGCGAATAATTCCGATCGGCGCGCTTTATTTGACAAGCTTGGTGTTACAGAGGCGCTTGTCAAAGACGTTCGGTCTCTGGTATTGCAGAAACCGTTGGATCCAGTTGGAACCCAAGATGCTCTCCTTGCTTCTGTTACCTGCCTCAAGTTCCTGTACCTTTCTGAGGGTCTGGTAGATAATGAGGAAGTTCAGGCGGATATGAAGGGTTTTCGTATCTACGACCAGTACCTACAAGCATACCTACCAACAAAAAGCCGCGTCTATATACCGACGAGTGATGAATACGGACCACTTCAAACGCTCACAGCAAATGGTAAAGCTCCCCGCTTTAATGCATCGTTCCTCAACTATGGTTACTTAGCCGACATACCGGCGACACCACTTGGTCAAATCTATGGTTGGGAAGAATGGCTACCATCGCGACTCCGTTTGTTCCGTCACGTGAAACTTATAACGCGAGATTCACAAAAGCGGTTGCTCGTATCCCTTGAATTCCGCTATCTTGAACGCCATCGACCCGAGCGCCTTCTGGGCGCCTTGCAGCGAGCTTGGGAGATTGAAGGCACCAAGGCTGTAAAGTCTGCCGATGTGCTTGAAGGACTGCGCGCACTCGAGGTTCCGTGTAACGGGAGGGACGACTTCTCATTAGGAGATCCTCTTACAACGACCTACTTACCTTTGCCGGAACTTAAAGGGAAGCTTTCCCGCTATGTCGAGGATGAGGGTTTCCTTTTCCTAGACTTGGGCGAGCCTATTACATCGAGTACCTACACAGCCAAATGGGGCTTCTTGGTTGACCACCTTGGTGTCGGCCATACTGATGACCTTCGATTTTACCTCAGTATCCTCAAGACGATCCGATTTAGCAATGCAGCAGCTGGAGTTCGTCGACATGCTAGGATTTTGGATGTCTACGAGGCTATACATGCTCGATGTCGGGAGGCCGACAATTTCCTCGACGCACAGGCTGAGACAAGGCAAGATAATACATGAGGATATCGGACCACCATTGCTAACAGACGTAGGGAAGCGGTGAAGGATGGTAACCTTGTATACATCCCTGCATACGAGTCGCAATCCGCGTCGTGGGTACCGCCCGACAGATGCCTTTGGAACGCGAGAAAGGACATGCAGACAGCATACCCTCTTGCCCATCTCTACCGAACAGTCTTCAATAGGTCCGAAGAAGACCTCGACATATTGCGGCAGTTCTTCAGGACGACCTTAGGTATCGGCGATTGTTCCTGGGAGCACTACCTGGACGAGATCCGGAAGTTGAAGGTTGTGGCAAGTGAGGACTTCGACTGGGTGAGCGACATATACGAGTGTGTGGATCTAGAGAGAGCAAGCTTGACGAGTAATGACATTGCAAAGCTCAGGTACGGGTCCACTGTTGTTCTATATGATCCAACTAACAATCACCTAGGAAGGCATTCGTGGAGGAGAAGTTGATTTACTTCAACCACGGCAACTTCAGCCGCTGGTACACAGTCGGCGAATGTCTATGGTCCAGTGCCACCCAGATTCAAGGCAGGGTAGCTCTCAATGATCTCTATCCCGACTTGGATGAATTCTTCGTTGATTTTCTCGGCGTACAAGAACTCACACTCGATATGGCATATGACGAGCTGAAAGAGATGAGTACCAGAGTTCCGTCTCCTCCTATTGCTGCTGTCAAGGAGACTATCTGGGCACTCAACTCTTTGTTATCATCGGCAGAGCATCATCCTAACGAAGAACCAGTCTTCCGAGGAACAATCTTCCCTGTCAAGTACCCAAATGGGTCGGTGAAGCTGCAGTCGGGACGTACACAATTCGCGATCGCCGACCGCAAGACTTTGGGCGACATATTCGGTTCACAGGCGAGGATGTTGGACTTCACACTCGATGAAGTTCGACGATTACGACCATTTCTCTCGTGGCTCAATCTGGAGTCCAGATATCTCTCTACTTCTGTTCGCGAGATCTCTACTGTGGCAGGTGGAAGTATGGGCAAACTGCAGTCTCCGATCCGGGAGATAGACCAGAGAGCCGAGGGCCTCTACAGGTATTTCACCTAAATGTCATCAATTGCCTAGCTAACCTATGTTACAGAATCGCAGTCCATTTCAACAGTCCCCGAACACAAAACGACAACCCCGATCTGTACTGGCTTCTCGACAGCGCTAAGGTCTACGAAACGGACGGTATCTCATCCGAACTCCATCTATCTCAAGACGGCCACGGCATAGTCCATGTTCAGGACCGAAGTGAGCTACACATACGAGAAGATGACGATACCCTCAAATTATATGTCCCCCGAGATCCGGAGACTCAAGGGTTTTGTTACTTCTCTACTCTTCCACGACGCTTGCTGGAGTGGATGATGACGGATCCGATTACACTACAAGTCAAACGCGCTGGGTCGAAGGCGGTTCAGATTGTGACGGCAATTTTGAATTCGCCCCTCATTAATGTCGCGCAGATTTTGGAGGCGGAGGGAATTGTTGATGTTCCCATTCCAACAGAGTCTGGCACGAACCGGGATAAAAAGAACAACATTTCGCAAACGGACGATACTGAAGAGGTTGAAGAGTCCGGAGTCTGCAATGAAGAGGGACAGAGCCATGACAAGCCGGGCTCTAGCGACGAGGCGGATGAAACAGCTTCTCAGCTTCCGACACAACCAGAAATACGTGAAGACGATATTTCTAGCCGCGAGGGCTCAATCATACAACAGTTCGCCGACATGAGATCAGCCCCAACCTTTTTGGACCTAACAATTCGGCAAATAAGTCCCGTCACATCGAATTCTTCTGTCGCTGGGCAAGTCTTCACACCAACATCGTTAACGACCGACTACTTCGACCGGGATAGAGGAACATCTGCGCATCGCACGCCAAAGTCAAAAGGCTTTGCCGGACCGTTCGGGGGGCTCTTCGCCGAGCAAACACCATCCGGGACACCTAATCACCCGGCTTTTGTCTTCGGGTCTTCGCCTGGCGTGTTATCAAGCTCTGCCTTCCAGTTCGAGGGTCCAGGCGGTGCCTCACTACCCTCTACGATTGAAGACGAGAAATACTACTTGGGTCTAATTGATAATGTCATTACTATCGCGAGTAAGAGAACGCTCCTTAGTAGGGACACTCACGGCACCTCCGGCCTATTCAGTTCGCTACCAGAAATTGAGGACGAGAGAGTCGAACGATCGCAACGCCTCCTGTCTGACATGCGTATTGGGGCTCTTGGTGAACTATACGTAAGACAATCTTGATCCCTGTATCCAGAACACTTGCCTAACATATGAATTAGGTATTTGAGCTTCTTCTGGGGATGGCTCCCTCGCTCCCGCGATTTGGCATAGACCATTGGCCAAGTCATATGCGGCGTTTCATCAAGAGCCATCCGAAATACTCCGACATACAACCATGGACAGGCCAAGAAACAGCCGACATCGTATACCGCGATCAAAAGTGCGTTCTGACAAAGTATTTAGTAGAAGAGCGCTACCTTTCCGATAGCTGGTTAGACAAGAAGCCTTTATACTTCATCGAAGTCAAGTCAACAACAGGACACAGCCGCACTCCGTTCTACGTGAGCAAGCGACAATACCAAAGGGTGAGTATTGTCTGTACCTATGTTTCGGACGTTCTGCTGACGAGTCACCATGTATAGATGCAAGAGAACCGTTCCGATCGCCAACTGCGCTGCACTGCGCCTAACATTTACATGATCGCCCGGGTGTCCAACGTCGATAAGTCTAGTATAGACTTGAAGCTATATGTCGACCCAGAGAGTATGCGTCAGCAGGGGTCGTTGTTCTTCACGCCTGATACGTGGTCGGTTGTTCCTGGAACTGGAACACGTTGATTTGGATGTTCGTGGTCATTTCAGTCATCTCAAGGCACCTTCCTTTAATCACATACCATATACTATAATATATTCAAGATTTCTCTGTAATTGACCCATATTTGGGATCCTTCGCCCTATTGGCTCGGTATAATGATATTTAAGGTTTTCTTCGACCAATGTTCACATTTGAAGCATCACGACGTGCTTGCGCAAGGCCGCCGCCCTAGCATAAGGTTTTCATTGAGGCAAGATACTTTTCTTTGCTTGCTTCCCTCAGGTCAGTTTCTCTTCCTTTCATCGAAACCACAGACACTCATACAGTCATCAGTGCGACGTGTTCAACTTTCGAGTTCGCCCACTTAACCAGTCAAATCTCAATCACCCAAAAGAACCCAAAAGACCGTTCATCAGTTCACCGAAGAACAATGAGTAGTTCGCGTGTTCAATACAAAGAAACAAAGGCTGCCTGGTTCGAACGTTCACCCCATTCAAGTGAAACCGTCCCAGTTATCGACAGGAACACGACAAACAAAGACTGGACATCGCCTTGTTCCGGGCACTGGGCCGCTCATTCCCAAGAACACCAAAGATGAGCATTTCGGACACTATGACGGTCAGTTCCTTCCCGCCGCTCTACAAATTTATTTAGTCCCTACCGCTGCCATGGTTCAAACATTTTCCTCTTCTCTATCTCATCAAGCTTTCTTTCTTTGGCACTGCCATACACTATTGCACTCCAGCAGCACTACTCACATCTCAATAGCATCTCTACGATACTCAATCTTTTTACACCCTACTCAACTGTCTTACTCGACACTATCGACATCATGTCCGATAACCGATCTTTGAACCTTCGTGGCCAGAACCAGGATAACGGTCAGCCCAAGTACAACACCGCCAAGATGTCCGACAGTAAGGTTATCAACCTTCGTGGCCAGAACCAGGATGATGGCCAGCCCAAGTATCATATTCTTGTCCGTGGCAGTAACTCTGCCGACTCTACTCCTGAGAAGGCACGAGGTCCTTCTACTCGCAGCTCCCCCGAACGTCTGGAACTCCCTGGATTGTCTAGAGGATCGACTCCTGCTTCCCGACCCCCTACTCGTAACGGCAAGCCTCTTGACCCTACCGTCGCGCCTTTCCAGCATCAATATGACGATGTGGTATCGCAGCAGCGAAAGGTAAACAGCGCCTCTCCCTCCCAGTCCTCCCAGCAGGGCGACAGCAGCTTCACCACCTACGCCCAGTATCTTGAGAATGAACGTACGGGTAACTACCGCAAGATCAGCGAGATCGAGGACGAGCGTGACCGCGAAGATGCTTTCAGCTCTTACATCTGGGACCAGCACGTTGACTGGTCTGCTGAGGATCTGCGCAAGGAGAAGGAACAGAAGGAGCTTGAGGAGCGACGCCAGCGATTCGGCAAGCACTCTCATTCTCGCCAGAACTCTGAGAAGTAAGGGACAGATTGCGACTGACTAACTGACATCTCTAGAGGGGGTTTCTGCGACTGACTGACTACACTCTGATATCCCAAGAAGGGATCTGCTGCGACATACCACACTCTGACATCTCGACAGGGGATTTTGTCCGACAGATTATTGGATCGGAAACAGCATTGACTGCATTTCTTTTGTTTTGAACATCTGCGATTAGACCATCTAGGTCTAGCATTATAGCGAGATAGCGATAGCTTTGTATCCTTGAACACATTCTCTTGACTAAATTAAATCATCTCATATTTACGTGAATTATCCTAAACTTCCCGTCTAACTAAACATTTTCCTTCGATGTTCGACTGACCATGTACAATCATGCGGTCGTGTCTTGTCATGCTTAGCTTCATTTTGGATATGCAGATAAGAAAGAACAGCCTAGACCTCTTAGAATAAATCATGTCGATTGTTCTGCAGTCCGAACAAGCTAATACGATGGAAGAATGAGAACCAGTGGTTAATAAAGGGATGACTACAGGGTATCTGTTTCGTTTCGTGTACCCATCCTCACCACCAATTAGTTGGCTCAAGAGATGAGAGCGGATGCGTTCTTCTGAACCAATGCTTTATTGATATATGCCCACTTATTTAGTTAATTGACTGACGCTAGAGACGCGCAAACACGCTGCCGGAGCATGAAAGAAACGCGCCCCACTGACCGGTTCCGAAGCCGCTTGTCATCCGGCAAAGTGGACCCCGCGACTCCGAGTCCAGCCCGGAAGTCATGGCAGCGTCATACTGACGCTCAAAGAGAAACATCAATTGCAATAGTTGAATCAATCCATTTCGGCATCCGACATCGCATCGAAAAACAGAAATGCCATAACGTGGAAAGTGCGAGTCCATGACGTAATCTTTTGCAGTGTCTCGTTGGGTATTTAAACAGCTACAGCTTCTCGAAGCACGTCACTCAATTTAGACAACGACGATCGCAAATCTTAACTTGACTACATCGACGCTATGGCTGATAATAAGGATATTCCCGTTACTAACGATAGCATGGGGGAGCCTCTTTCGGGGAAGAACAAGGTTCTTACTGCTGGTGCTGCTGTGACGCAGGTACGTTGAAGCTTGGGATGGTCATGAGCAGTGTTGACTTGTGGTAGGAGTTTCGACCTGTGAAGAATATTTGTGCGCATCTTAATGCTTTTCATGCCTACGCCGATGATCCCTCGCGCTTTGTGGAAGCGAACCACTACTGCGCGCACTTGAGTACCTTCCTACCAGCTTCATCCACTTGCACCTACTAACACCCATCAGACGAAGACGTCCGCCAATGTCTCCTCTACGACTCCGACGAGCCCAACGCGCGCCTCATAGGCATCGAATACATGATCACACCCAAACTCTACGAAACTCTCGACAAAGAAGAGCGTCAACTCTGGCACTCGCACGTCTACGAAGTGAAATCCGGTATGCTCATCATGCCGAACCGCGCAGTCCCTGAAAGCGCATGGCAAGTCGCCGAGAACTACGAGATGGACCAGGTAGTGGAGTTGTACGGAAAGGTATACCATTTGTGGCAGACGGACCGTGGGGATAGACTGCCGCTTGGACCGCCGAAGTTGATGACGAGTTTTACGGCGGATGGACAGTTTGACTTTGAGAAGCATGTTGGCGAGAGAGATAGACGGTTTGGAACGGATTATAAGGTTAAGAAGGAGGCGAGGAAGGATATTCCAGAGCCGGTTATTCATGAGGGTGAGTATTCTTCTGTACCTCTGTTGATGAGGTCGTGCTAACAGATTGTAGATGCGGATCAAGCTTGGAAGAAGAGCAATTGAAGAGGACTAAAATGGACCAAAACGTGCGATCAGGAGGCAAGAGGATGTATTGCTGACTGAGCAGAGAGAAGACGAGGCGCGTTCTTCGTATGACAGGGAGACCTCGTACGGTCGGAAAGGAATAGTAAAAAGGCAATTGAGGTTGTCCTAATGGGTATCATCTATTACTCTAGTTCAATGAATGCATCATTATCGCAGCTACAGGCTTCCCTTTTCCTCTCGCAAGCCGGGCAGAATTGGCTCGTAAGTTGCTCCTACTTCCCAATCGTCACCTTCTGCGGCAACTGTTGCACTCCCTGCGCTTGCTGCATCACTCTCGTATCGTGAACCTTTCGATCAATCCCTCGGAAGTCAAACACGCCCTCAAGTTCTCTCCTAGTCGCTAGTAGCTTCTCCTGGACTTTAACCAGCTCCTCGGGTTTGTTGTCTTGCACAACGTGCGCCTTGACGTGAAGGAACCATCGCTTTTGCTGATCCACCGGTGTGAGTGAGTCAAAGGAGGGGAGACTGCCTAGTGGGAAGGATTGCTGTTGCTTTGTCTCCATGGGGACGTAGTTCTCTATGGGGTGCAGGAAGTAGTGTCGTATTAGACAGAACTCTACTTCATCTCGGTAGAAGTGATACATTTCCTCGATTGTCTCCGTCTTGAACCTACGTTTTGTCAGCAAGCATCACAAAATCGCGGCGGTTGCACTCACGTGTGGTCATTGTCGCGCATCAACGAAGGCAATCTCTTCTGCTCCCAAAGCTCCACCATCTTCCTCTGCGTAAGCAAAGGCTGCTTTCTAGGCGGATCCGGAAAATCCGTCCACTTCAGAATCCCCTGCGTCGCATCAAGATCCATCGGCGGCGCACCAGGTCCCATATCACGCTCCTGAACCACATCATACCTCGTCTGCAGTATGAACGACTGCCGCTTCAAGTTCTGATGCAGGTCTTTCCACAAGAAGCCCGTGCCGGGCCGTATGGGCTTTTCTATGGAGGCCTGGTTGGAGATGCCCGTCGGGCGCGGAGGACCTTGGAAGTAGAGGACTCGTTGGATGGATTTCCAGGGATCCATGTTAGTGAGACCGCCTAGGATGGAGCATGCTGAGCTGAAGTCTTTGTCCTCTATGAGGGCTGTGAGGAAGATTTCGTGCATTGTGGATTCGGGGGGATGTTTTTTCTCTTCAAAGCTGGGAGGAGGATACTAATCCAATGACATGCTGGAAAGTTAAAGGCATGAAATATGATGAACGATAAGCTTGTAAGTTTGTACTTGGTGTACTCCGTAGCGATAACTGAAGGTGAGTGGTGAAAGCTACCCCACCAAAGCTTGCTTGCGAAACGAGATGGATGGGAACAAGTAGGAAGCTATATGATTGGGTCTGCAGCTGAGATAGATCCACATAACGGAACAACTCGTCTTCCGCTCCAGATATCGCACGTGACCTCGCGATCGTTGCCGCGTTAGTACGCGATACTAAGAATCTCGCCATATTTACATTGACCTACGTTGAATGTGAGGAGTTGGTGAACGCGGACAGGGCCAGAAGTTTCCGGGAAAGTTCCGGGGAAAATGCCGAACGGAGTAGATAAAATTACAATTGTATATCTTGTTTTCTGTGCATCAATTTTCATGAAATTCCTACCCTTTTACCAATTCTCATCTTGAACAAAGAATGGTTTAGGTTAGGTGGACTGCCGCGGCCAAGCCAGCCTTGGCTCCTTAGTCAGGTCCGACCCTGCATGCACTTTACCGTGACAACACTGGAGATGCTTATCGCATCAGATAACCACGACTTACCCCGATGCAGCCCCTGTCGATCACTATAGGATCAAGATGCCTTCAGACGAGCAAACAAAGCGCAAGGCCTCTGATGCGCCTGTGTCTCCTCCGCCCCTCAAGCGCAAGGTGCAGAGCGGCACAACCAGTGAGTGCGCGATCCTGCACAACACCACCGTCTGCGAGCTATCAAGGCTACGACATGGTGGATACGATTGAGCTTTTACTAACATGGCTACTTAGAGACTGCTGTAGCGAACTTCTTCACGCCCGCGTCACAGAAGCCCAAGGACCCTACTGTTTGGTCTGAACGAAGCCCCTACAATAACGATGATATCCCCGGGACGTTACTCGTCGGCCGATTCGAACCAGAGAAGAAAGAAGACAGGACGATAAAGAGAAGGAAGATAGCTGCTTTTGATCTCGATTCAACCCTTATCTCTACATCCTCAGGCAAGAAGCACGCGAGCAGCGGTACAGATTGGAAATGGTGGCACAACTCCGTCCCCACCAAACTACGAGAGCTGTATCAAGATGGATACCGGGTCGTGATATTATCGAACCAGGCAGGATTGACATTACACTTTGACGCAAAGTACAAGGGCCCCAAAGGCAACGCGCAGAAACGAGTTACCGAGTTCAAACAAAAGTGTAGCGCCGTCCTCAATAGCCTCAACCTTCCGACCTGCGTCTACGCGGCGACCGAGCACGATATCTTTCGAAAGCCGAGAACTGGTATGTGGAAGGAGGTCTGCGACGACTACGACATCTCGGAGACCGACGTCGATTTGGAGAATAGCATTTTCGTTGGCGATGCAGGGGGACGCACCGCAAGTTTGGGGAAGGGTGCAGCCGCCGCCAAAGACTTTAGCTGCTCGGATCGAAACTTTGCTCACAACGTGGGGATCAAGTATCTCACCCCCGAGGAGTTCTTTCTGGGCGAGGAAGCTCGGAGCTACGCTCGTGAATTCGACCTCGCCGAGCATCCCTTCAACGACGATGCTCAATCGGGGAGCTCCGCGGTGGTATTCACCAAAACTAACGACAAGGACATCATCTTATTCTGTGGGCCACCGGGTGCTGGTAAGAGCACTTTCTACTGGAAATCCCTCAAGCCGTTGGGGTACGCGCGAATCAACCAGGACCAGCTCAAGACTCGCGACAAGTGCGTGCAGGCGGCAAAGGAGCATCTCCAAGAGGGAACCTCGGTCGCGATAGGTGCGTTTCCCCAAATCTTTAGATTACCCCATCCCACCACCCCTCACGGCGCTAAACAAGGATGCTTGCAGACAACACCAACGCCGATCCAGAGACCAGGACCGTTTGGGTAGAGCTTGCCAAGAAATTCGGCATTTCTATCCGTTGCGTGTGGTTCAGGACGCCTCTCCAAGTGTGCGAGCACAACAACGCTGTGCGGGCGCTAAATGAATCGCTGAACCCCGAAGCCAGACCTGTCTTACCCAAGATGGCATTTACAGGTTTTGCAAGCAGGTTTAAAGCACCACAAGTCAAAGAAGGATTCGAGGATATTACAGAAGTCCAGTTCCAGTTTCGTGGTACGGAGGAGGAGTATCGAATCTGGGGACGATACTGGACGTAGACGATCCCCATCTTGGCGGAGTATCATGCAATTGCTCCTCATCATGCAAATTTGCTTTGCTCCAAAATCTTTTTTTCTTAATGGGGCATTTGAGGTTCAAGTCGCCTCCTCATGGCCATATTGGGGAAGGCGAAGCGAAGCAAAGTTGCATCGTACGGAAGCGAGTTTTTAGTTAGTCTGGACAGGCAAGACGGGGTCCGTTCCCACGCTGTCTAATTAGTTCACTCACTGTGAGAAGGTGTCTGGGGTAGATATCTCCTCGGGGGTTAAAAGATCTTCCGAGTGACGTTCGGGACTTTTGGTACCGAGACTCATATTGTACAATATTTTAATGAACATTGTGAACAACAGAAGATGGAGTTTTACTGTTCTCTGACGTCTTGTTCATCTGAGTATAGAGTCTCATTCGATGCTATGCGAAGTATTCTGACCAATATACGAGTATCCATACAACGTAGCAATCCCCATGGATCATGTTCATGTAATCGGAATTATTATTAAACCTCTTGGACAAGGGTCGTATCCAAGTGTTCTCGACTAGGCACCAGCGAAAAGTCTCTGAAATGTCATCCGTCTCTGGTCACCCACGCCTTGTATCCACCTACTTACTACCATGACCCTTCGTCCCCTCTCATCATCTAGTGGAGAAATACCTCGGTCGCGAGAGAATAAACCGGTCCGATTCACACCCCCATGGCAAGTTTAAGCTTACAAGTTCAAGCTTAATTGTTTGTTCTGCTTTTCACGGACTTTTGCGCACCAAGATCAGCACGCGGGGAACTTTTCTGGGGACGTGTCTCACCAGAGCAAAGTGGCATGATTGCGGAGATGAGATCTAGACCCGTTGTTTAAGCGTCGCTTAGGATTTATGGTTGTTTTCATGCTTCTTCCTGTGCCTTTATTTTAAAGATGTAGTGTTTTTTTGTTTTGGAGGTTCAATTTTCTTGGCTTGGGGATTTAATGACGGGAATTAAATGATCTCTCCAATTAATGGCGAATGCCCAGCCGGCTTTGATCGCCCTTGGCTCTTGGCAGAACGTGTTTTTGCGCTGTAGTGGCTGGGCAGGGCGCCCTATGGGTGTACTTGGCGCGGCACCTTTACAAGTGCAAGTTGACGTCGAAGGCAAGTGGGAGGTGTGCTAGGTGGGTAACAAGAGAGATGTCCTCTCAAGTTTGGGCTACATGAATAATGTAGACCAACTACTAGTCTGGGCTTGCATAAGGTGATCGAATTATTTCATCTCTTATGCTCCTAGCGGTTATTTCTTCTGACACCCTAACGGAGGACTAGCCTGATGCAGGGAAGAGGAGGCTTTCGGCGAACAAATTTGAGATCCAGGATCAATTTTAGTCAGAGCTTTTCCCCATCTTCTCCACGGGGCTACCACCGTTTTTAACGTGGAAGGTGGAGGAGCACACTTGAAATGGCGTCTCCGCTATTGGAGGAGGAGAGTAAAGATCATCGTTGTAACTTGTTTTTGCGTCTGGGGAACTGAGTGATAGTCGGTGTAACGGGGGGAAACTCGTGGGGGAACCCATGGGGAAGAGACTGCACATACCATTCCCCATTTCTAGAGTAGCGTCCATCTCATGTCTAGAGTAGCACCCATCTTTGTATAAAGACCTTCGACCCTCACCACTTCTTCGGTCTCAACTCATCCCCTCATCCTTATACCACATCCGCAACAATGGCAGGAGGCGTCAAGAAACCCGTCAACATCTTCAAGCTCAAGGACCTAGGCGAGCCAGCCGGTGTCTTCAACTGGAGACTCTGGTTCGCTGTTGTGTCTTTTGCTCTCCTCGGTGCCGCACGAGGTATTGATGAGGGTCTCATCTCTGGATCTTTCAACAGCAAGGATTTCCAGGAGAAGATTAACTATGAGAGTTATTCCGAGGTGGAACAGGCCAACATCAAGGCCAATGTTTCTGCTATGGTGCAGATTGGTTCTGTTGGTGGTGCCTTAATGTAAGTTCTTTGCCCCCTCTTTGGTAGATGGGATGTGGTTACTGACTTGCGCAGCGCTTTCTTGATCTGTGATCGCATCGGCCGTATTTGGGCTACTCGTGTTCTCTGCTCCCTTTGGGCTCTTGGTATTGTCATCTTCATGATCGGTGGTGTCAACGGAAACCTCGGTGCCATCTACGCTGGTCGCTTCATCTGTGGTCTTGGTGTTGGACAGACTCCTGTCGTGGGACCTGTTTACATCGCCGAGATTGCACCCGCCGCCATTCGTGGTCTCTGCTCTTGCATGTTCACTGTACGTTCCAATCCTCACTCCCATCTTATTCATGTCTAACTTTTCAGGGTGCTGTTTACATCGGTATCGTCCTCGCTTACTTCACAAACTACGGCTGCCATCTCAACATGTCCGACCACACCCACAACCAATGGCTCGTCCCTACCAGTCTTCACATCATGATGTCCGGTCTCATCTTCCTCCTCATGTTCTTCCAATCCGAGTCCCCCCGATACCTCGTCAAAGAAGGCAAGCCCGATGAAGCAGCTCGTGTTCTCGGCCGTCTTCGTCAACAATCCCCCGAGAGCGACTACATCATCCGCCAAGTTTCCGAGATCCAGGCCGCTCTTGACCACGAGCTCGAGGCTACCAAGGGTGTTGGTTTCCTCGGAAAGGTCAAGGAGCTCATCTTTGTCCCCTCCAACCTCTACCGTCTCTACATGTCCTCCATGGTCCAGTTCCTCTCTCAGTGGTCTGGCGCTGGTTCCATCACCCTCTATGCCCCCGATCTGTTCAAGATCATGGGCATCGTTGGTAAGGAGGAGGGTCTTCTCGTCACCGCTGTCTTCGGTATCGTCAAGCTTTGCGCCGCTATTATTTGCGCTCTCTTCCTCGTCGATGTCATCGGCCGAAAGCGCGCTCTTCTCATCGGTATCTCTCTGCAGACCATTGCCATGGTCTACGTCGCTGCTTTCCTCACCAAGATTCCCCAGCTTGGTGTTGATGAGGACTTCGTGCTTCCCGCCGCTGACAAGGGTGCTTCTCGCGGTGCTATCGCCATGATCTACGTCTCTGGTTTCGGTTGGGCTCTCGGCTGGAACTCCATGCAGTACCTCCTCACTGCCGAACTCTTCCCCCTCCGAATCCGAGCTCTCGCTACCTCTTGGGCTATGACTCTTCACTTCGCCAACCAGTACGGCAACTCCCGCGCTGTGCCCAACATGCTTCTCTCCGTTTCCAAGGGTGGTATCTCCCCCAAGGGAACTTTCTGGTGCTTCGCCGCTGTCACCTTTGTCGGTGGTGTCTGGGTCTGGTTCTCCGTTCCCGAGACTAGCGGTCGCAGCCTTGAGAGCATGGATGAGCTCTTCGAGCTTCCCTGGTACAAGATCGGTCTTCACGGTAACAAGCACGTCGAGGAGCTTGACCAGGCCCGCGACGAGAAGCAGCGCTATGTTGAGGAGAGCCATGCTACTGGTGTTGAGATTGAGGGTCAGCGCAAGCAGGAGGCTTAGAGTCAAAAATTGGTAAATTACCATAACGGTCCTGGTATATAGTCATGAATTCTATGAACGCATGAATAAGTAAAATTTTATTCATTATGATACATTTAAGTTTTCTCCATCCTTCTAAGTGAAAGTTTCGCTATTAATAGCATTGTATCCTCATAATCTCTTACACTTTGATGCTTTTTGTGTGTCCCAATACTGACTCTTGTACGTACATGTTCGTCCGATGAGGTGTCTTAATGCATGTTAGTATAATGATAGGCTAGCCCATACTTGAGGAGAACATACCTCTGACGGAGACCCTTTAAAGATACCATTAATTCCGTCTCGATTGACTCCAGCCTTAATCTGAGACTGGAAGTATTCGTGTACCCGCTGGAACATTCGTGCCTCGAAGTGGATCCCTTTTATTATATGAACTTTGACACTCTTCAATTGCATCTCCCAGCCTCTCAGATATTGTAGGAGGATACCATTTCGGCAGGCCTGGTTTGCCAGTAGCCCTTTTGTCGACTGAAACGTAGCGACAAAGACATCAATGTTCGATACTGCGTTGCCGGAAAGTGAAATCATCGCATTGAGCTCTGCAGTATTGTTCGGCATCCATATTGGTTGAGGTAGCGGGGTCTTGAATGGCTTGAATCAAGCGCACAAGCAGTCCACCAAGGTCGAGAACTATAGTACTGCTGCCGCCGATAATTATAAGACACAATGTGTTGTCTCGGAACGAGGGATCGGTATATCACCAAGGTCAAGACATTGGTCCTTGCTGTCTTTGCGGCGAGCAAGGTCTCTGCGCAAATGGTATTGGCGTATGGACTTTCTTCTCCTTGGAAAGGAGGGAAGGGGACGGAGGGCAAGCCCATCGTCATCCCCGCCATCCTTGCTAGCTAGGTAGTCCGCATGAGGGCACGTAGGAAATAAGGTGTCTGTATATACTTTTGCAGTGGCCCGGTTGGCACTTGATGTCATATCCTCGCCATTGATGTACTGGAAGTCTGTGATATTCACCAAACACCTCACTTGCTCCCAGGAGTTTGGTTCAGGAGCTGACATGTTCTTGACCCAAGGTGTGGCCCAGAGATATATACAAGGTGGTACGGCCCAGCAGGTTTAGCTTGGAAGCTTACTGTTTCTATTTGTAGAGTGGCCCCCACAGGGCGCAAGTGAAAAGCTCCTCGACTGGGCGACTACGCCTGTGGTGAACTTTGGAGCAGTGTAAAATTGGGTGGTTCCAATCTTCCTATACGAAGAATCTCCATGTCCTAGACTTGTATATGATGATGGTACAGTAGCAGTAGTAGCACTACCACTCTGCACAGGGGTAAGATTGAGAGGAATGGGATCGCGGAAGATGCGTCAGACTGGCTGGGCTGCTGCGGCAGGAGCAGGCAGGGGCGCGAGGAGCTGGAACTGTAGTAACGGGGGCCTGGGCAGTCGGACGCTTAATAAATGGCGGCCTCCCCACTGCATGCTGGTAACCAGTATAGGGCCATGCGAGCACAATACTGGGTTCCAGATTGGTATATGCCAAGGGGCTTGAACATCCAGAGCCCCATATTAAGCTAAGAATGCATCCGTTTATTGATACCGAGTAAGTTAACTTTGAGTTCAAATTGACCCTTTTGTAAGGCTTTGGGGTACCATTTCATGTATACCGGGACAGTTTGTACGGCCACGTCTCGTTGCAAACCGCTACTCTTGAATGTGGATCGCCGGCCCATCCTCTGACGGGAAGCATGTCGCATCCCGACTACTTACTGTGCAGCCAAGGGGGCCAGCCAATGTAGAATAGAAGTATAAGAGGGATGCCAAGGTGGATCGAGCACCTGCTGGTCGAAGCTGTTACGATATATAGATAATACCGGCACCAACTCGATGGTACTGTCAGCGAGGGGTCCAGGCCACTGCCTTTCCAAGAGTGTAATGAGGTAGTCAGTGATACTAGCGCGATCAGGATATAGAATATAACTGGGGAAGACCAGTAGACTGTTTCTCATCCCCTTCCTCATATTCATCTTGCTCCCACTGGCTCATAATAAGGGTTTGTCGAGTGTAAGCTTGGAGGAGAGAGAAAAAAAAAGAAGTTCCATGTCGACGAATGTCTTGTCCTTCGCACCAGACATGAGAGATGTGTGCCAAGTCAGGATAAGCTTCGAAGCCAGGTGTTCCGTCACAGTTGCCGCCAGGCTGTCGTGACTCACGATGTCGTAGGTGAGCGGTTTTGTGAATCTATCTATGATCGTTGATTTCGGTAGAAAGTTTTGTAAAATATAGCACCGTTGATTCTTCGTGATGTAGATGCAGCTGATCTTAGGTTGATGGCGTTTAGGTGTTAGGCTACCTCCACGGGTAGCCTCTGGAACCTTCAATCGGAGATAGAACTAGCTCTTCTGTGGAGAGAGCATGGCATGCACTATCGATTGAGGAATCAGTCCAGTCCACCCAAGTGTATAAAGTGAGGATATAATAGAGACACCGTTGTAGAGGAGTCTATAGAGTTATTGCAATATATATAGTGCCGGGAGATCACCAGAAAATGTCATTTCCGCTGGTTGACATCTTCTCAGCAGCCAAAGATATTTTGGAGATCGAATAGGCTTGTTGGAGATACAGAGTTGTGGTGAAAGGGGATGTAGAAGTTGAGCCTCAATGCTGATATGGAATAGTGGCACAGTATCTTGCCCTGTTATAGTCGACAATCCCGGTCCGACAGGGAGGCCATTCCGTAATGCAGCGAAATCTTCGAGGCTGATAGGCACCAGACGTGTGCTTGCAGTCGCCTTTTGAGACAAAGTCTTGCCAATGTACACCCTAATGGCGCCGGCAGTTTCGTTGTACTAGACGAGGAGATAAGAAGTATATAGCTTGTTGCGAATCTGTTACAAAAGTGATGCAGAATCTCTGCCTTCGTTTTCTGCATTGCTTCAGGTGGGTTTGCAACTAAAGGCCTTCTTTCGTTTGGCGCTCAAGGGCCTCGAGCGTGTAAGGCTATATGTTGATCAAGTCGAAAAAGCAAGATTGGAATGATGCATTTGTACGTGTACCAGTGGCTTGACTCTCCAATCACCATTCGACATCAACATAATAAGCCACTCCTGATCATTTGCTCTTGATTATTCCGACGAGAGCGGAAGTCAGGAATCTTCTTCGTCGAGGAGTTGCTGTCCATTTCTCCTTTGATGTAGAGACCGGAACATGTGCCGCCTCTTGACGGGTTCAAGAAGACAAGAGACTGGGTAGACACTCTTGGGGTTGTCGGTATCGTATAATATATCTATGTCGTCTCGACGAAATGGATCATCTCCACTGTGTGTAGAGCGACAACAAGGTTTTGCCGAATCCGGGCTGGTCGGCCAGAATGACCGTTGAATGAACTCAAGAAACTGGCAAGCCTTCCTTGAAGTGTTGGTCTGTCGTACAGATGTCCTCAGTGTAAGTACGAGAACATACATAGGCCTTGTACCAGTAAGGACGGTTAGCTCAGCCGCACCCCCACCCTTGCCCTTATTGCCCTTCTTGTTCTTCTGGCTCTTCGTAACCCGGGAGGTATTGTGGAAGGAGGAGGAGGAGGAGGTAGCCCATTTGACAAGAGTCACCAGAGAGAAGGGACCACCACCGCCCACGATGGCCATAATGCCAGGGCCATTGCGACAATCTCAGGACAGGTGGTTGAAATTCCCAATAGACACATTTGGGACGGTTGGACCTTATGGTCTAACGGTCAGAGGCTCAGGTCATGCTGTCATCATTCATAATATATATATATAGGAGGTTGTTCAAATTGTGGCTTGTGGACTCTAAGTCAAATGAGACTGCAGCCATAGGGTGAATAACTCGTCTTGTTCGTGGCGTTAAGAGAACATCCAAAGGTGATGCGATGGCAAAAAGATGCCCTTGAAGAGACGAAGATGTCGATCGGCGCCCACGCTGATTTCGTTGATGTTTGCGACGAAGACTGCAAGGGAGGGACGGGAATCTCTCCATCTGATAAGAACCTCTTGCTGACATGGTCGTGTCGTCGACCGCGATTCGGCGCTTTGGTGAGTACTGCCTCTTGTCTCCAAGTATCTTTCCATTTCTAGCATACTCTAGCGCAGCATCGATAATCATCAGAGCCAATGTGGGCGAGAATCTCTCAGACCAGCTCTTCTGGTTGTAGAAATGCCGAGTTGAGAAAGAACAGGAACAAAAACGAAGCTTAGAAGCCATGCTGCGACAAGGAATGTCAGTACCTGTACCTTGCCTCCATTTGCTGATGGATCTAGTATAAGACGTCTGCTTGAGCGCTTCCAGAGTACGATCTGGAAAGGCTTCCTCGAAGAAGGTTAGTACTTGATTCAGACTGAAAACATAGGAGATCGAAGGACTATACTTACTGCGATGGAAGCCCATTTAGCACTCTGCAAGGATAGCGACAATGAGACAGCTCCGTGTCCTGCTTCCATATCCTGATTTATTTATATATATTGCGGGATTTCCGGTTATCCCGCCAAATCTTCAGTCATACTATTGATAGACTTCGATAGTTGTATTTCGTGGGCGAAGAGTCTGCCAGCCTTTTGTCAAAGATCAGACCCCGTGGCTGTTCTTCTTCCCGAGAATCTGGAATGTTCCCCTCAGGGTCACAGGACCGAGGCATTCGTTTCTAAGCCATCTTCCAGCATTGGCTAAATTAGCCTTTCAAATAAGTCAGATCGCTTTGTGATCGACTTCAATATGCTGTTGATGGGGTTCATTTGCGGGCAGAAGGTCAATACGGCGATATGATAAACGACCAACTGCGCCGCCATTCCGCATTCGTATCAAGCGACGGAGGTCGTGATAATGCCAGCATATAAATGGATATGTATATATATTGTGGAACGCGTTTTGGGGTCCGGTGCCATCGCTGTTATCACCGAACGCACGGCAAGGAAGTCTGTTGGGGCACATGTTTCCCAATGTGACTTTTGGAAGACTGTAATATGATGAAGCGAAGCAGACCACCTGGCTTCTTCGCAGGC